TAATATTTTATTTGCATTTGACCTAGTCCATACTATCAAAAAAAATAAAAATGGAAAAAAAGTTTTTGCGACTATCAAGCTAGATACGAGTAAGGCTTTTTGATCGGGTTGAATGGATTTGTAGAAAAAACATAGAGAATTTACTCTTACGTTTAGACCGTTATTTTTTATAAATACATTTTTATTAGTGTAATTATTTGACTAAAAATATTATAAATAAATAATAAATAATAAAAATCTATACTTATGTATTTTTAAGAAATAACTGTGAAGATTACTTTTTTTTTTTATAGAGAAGGTTATGTTGCGAATGGACTTTTCTGACCAATGAATTCAATTGATTATGCGTTGTGTGTACTCTGTTTCCTTTTCTTTTCTTCATAATGGGATACCACAGGGTCATATTCTCCCTTCTAGAGGCATTAGACAAGGTGATCCTCTTTCTCCTTTTTCTCTTCTTGATATGCTCTGAAGGTCTCTCCTCTCTTCTTAAAAATGCAGAGAATACTCACAATATTAGGGCTTGTTTAGTTGCATTTTTGAGTTGTGTTGACTTGAGTATAGATTTTGAGTTGAATTTGAGTTATAATTTGAGTTGAAGTTATAACTTTCTTTTGTGTTTAGATGTGCACATTTGAGTTATGATTTAAATTGAGAATTTATTTTAGTTTGTGTTTGAGTGGGTCAAAACTTGAATTTGTATTTAAATAATATTTTAATAAAAACTCAATGGTGATGAAAAATTTTAATCAGAATTAAAATGAAAAAATTATGACGTTTTTAAGAATAGAAAAAATATTGTTCATTAGCTTGAGTTTGAGTTGAAGGGAAAACTTGAACTCAGATTTTAATTTCAAACTCAAATTAAAACTTGAGTTCAAACTTAAGTTCAAACTTAAATTTTATAAACAAACATAAATTTAAATAAAATTATAATTTAAATTTAAACTTTTTTTAAATTTTACTTTAAAGGAATTCGAGTTGCAAGAACTGCCTCATCAATTTCTCATTTATTTTTTTGCTGATGACAGTCTACTTTTTGTCAAGCTGATGTGCCATCTTGTTATGCTCTCAAAAATATTCTCTCAAGCTTCGGGTCAACGTATCAACTTTCAAAAATCTCATCTTCTTTTTCTCCAAATACACCAACAGACACTCGGAACTTTTTTCCAACATCATTTGGGTACTTCAGAAGGAGAATGCCATGAAATGTACTTGGGGCTGCCAACTTTTTTCCAGAAAAAACAAACAATCTATGTTTGCAGATATTAAGAGTAAAGTCCTCAATCGTTCGACGTCTTGGCAGGAAAAGCTATTTTCTCGTGCAGGGAAGGAAATATTGGTCAAGGCTGTAGTTCAATCCATTCCAACATATGCAATGAGTTGTTTCAAACTCCCTTCCACATTATGTTCTGACTTGGAATCTATGATGGCAAGATTTTACTGGGGCTTTTCTAGCAACGGAAAAAAATTTCATTGGAAAAGTTGGAAATCTATTTGTAGAGCAAAAAGTAATGGTGGTCTTGGATTTCGATCTCTTGTAGCTTTCAATCAAGCTCTACTAGCCAAACAAGCATGGAGAATTCTGTCAAACCCTCAATCTCTTTTTGCTAGTCTTCAAAGATACTTCCCTCAAGTCTTCAATAATAAATGCCCAACTTGGATATCATCCATCTTTTGTATGGCGTAGTATCAAATGGGGAGAACTACTTTCACAAGGCATTAGATGGAGGGTAGGAGATGGTACTCAAATAAATTGCTTTACGGACCCATGGATTCCAGGTTCTTCTTTTAAACCTTCGATGAGGAATTCTCTTCATGAAGATTTGAAAGTGGCAGAACATATATCAGCCCTGAAGTTTGGAATCATGCACTTCTTCGGCAAGTCTTTTCTCCTATTGACAGAGACCGAATTTTGGCCATTCCTTTGAGTGTTCGTTCAGTTCCTAATCGTCTAATTTGGAACCATGCAAAGAATGGACTGTATCAAGTTAAATCTGGTTATCATTTAGCGGCTGCCTCAGAAAACTCCGCCTCTTCTTCTGATCTTTCTTCTTTGCATAAATGGTGGAATTATTTCTGGTTTCTATTTCCTCCTAATAAGGTCAAATCCTTCTCTTGGAGAGCTTATCATGATGCTTTGCCTACTGACGCTACCATAGACATATAATACCTTCTGCTACTTGTTGTTCTGGTTCTTGGGAATCTACTAGCCATGTTTTATCCATTATTCGTTTGCCAAAGAAGCTTGGAATTGTCCCCTCTTCTCATACCTTTATCTTCTCTTCACCGACTCTCCTTCGCAGATATTCATCATCTTCTAGCTAAATCTATTAGTAAAAAAGAGTTAGAATTTTTTCTTTGTTTATGTTGGGCAGTCTGGGGTGAGCGGAACAAAAAAATTCATGGTCTGTCTATTCGTTCTCCTTCCCTTCTGGTGAACTGGGCCTGCCATTTTCTCTGAGATTTCTCCAAGGCACAACAAAATCAGGCTAGTTCTCTCTCAAGGACATCTCTTCCACAGCAACAAGCCAAATGGGCTCCACCATATCTTTATTGTTATAAACTTAATGTTAATGCTTCAATCTCCTCCAGAAATAAATCTATGGGAATTGGAGCTGTCATTAGAGATTTTGAAGGTTTTGTTATGGCAGCACTAGTGAACAAACTTGATGGAGTTTTCACTAGCCGTGAAGCTGAAGCTAAAGCAATTACGATCAGTCTTCTATGGGCATTAGACGTTAGTCTGAACCTCTAGTATGTAGAATTTGATGCATTGACAATTATTCAAGCCATGATGCACTCTTCTTCTTTTTGTAATGAGTTTGGATTGTTATTGTTTGATGTATCTAGTTTATTATCATTTTTTTCAGGAATTAGGCTTTATCATGTGTATAGTGAAACTAACTGTTCATACTTTGACGGTTTATACTCTTAATATTGATAATAAGCTATCTTGATCGGA